TTATAAACTGAATAAAATATGTATAGTGCAGTAAACGCTCACCAACCGCGGATTCCGGGTATCCATGGTATTTACTCTACACCAACGGCGCAATTGAATTTTGAGTACAATACTGTATATGAGCATCCTTTTACTACCAGAAATTCATTATGTGGGAGATATATTTGGTCTAATGCAGCTGAATGTTTGAAATCATGAACTACAGTGTGCCACTTCCCACCTCTCAGTACAGTAAGTTGTTCCTCTTCAAATGTGAGTCTGCACTGTATAAATCTGTCTAAGTGTGCAAAATTATTTGTAACTTTATTCAGCTCATCAAGTAGGAGTGAGTTACCTCACATGGCCTGCCACCCACAGAACATTAACATAGTATTCCATAGGTTTTTATTTAAATATCTGTATAACTGGTGAGTTTGAATTGAAAATACCTGTATAGTGGAAAGCTCTGAGCTCAGTAATGTTGGGAAATTTTTTTTATTTATGCCTTCTGCCATGGAAATTATTAAGATATAAGTGTGTTTCAAAAATTTGCTACAGTGAGTTAATGTATACCACCGTGTCATTTGCAAAACCGAGTCCTGGTGGAAATGTTAGAAAAGATCCAGTGGTTGTTGAATGGAGGAAAAAATGGCACAACATCAATAATTTTTCTGAGGAGTCACAGTTCTGATTTGAAATGTGGACACAGCATCAACATTCCCAGAAGAACACTGCACCTGATTCCGGTACAACATTGTCCTCAATGGATCTTCTGAAGCTGTATGATTTGTTTCCTGCTATTCAAGAAGCCCCACTGACTTTGTTGACACTTCCAGCCTCCACTTATGAAGTAGAGCGGTCATTTAGTAACTAAGACACGTCAGGACATGGCTTTGATTAACAATGTCAAGTGAATACTTGTATGGAATGTGCATTCTCAGCGTGCATCACCAGAAGGTATTAAATTGAAAGAAAGCCTTCACTGAAGACGTGATTGATCGATTTGGAGCTGATAAGCACCGCCTGCATTATTTACAGTATTTAACCAATGAAGTTATGCTGCTAATGTTTTGAGCAAGTCACCATCATGACAGACAACTAGCATTTGACATTTCTAGATTTTCAGGATTAATGATATCAAATGAATTACAGTACAATATTTTGGTTAGTTTTTAATGATAATTTTACTGATTAATAATTTGGTGATAACACTGTTAAATGATATTGCTGATCATACAGTACTCAAAAGTAACTCGATTATACTTGATCATACTTTTATATGGATGTATATAACTGTTTTGAATAAACTGATATATCAGGTTTTGTCTTGCTTTCTTGCACCCCCTGGAAAAAATCATGCGGACGTCCATGCATATGGCAAGAAATACCACCGAGAAAAGATGCTTTTGTGGAATACAGTATAGATTTTTCATAAATTGTTTTTTCCAGAAATACTGTAAATGGAGACTTTCACCCTTGAGGAAAATATGGAAGGTGAGAAGGATTGCAATTTATTGGCGATTTAAAATCAGTGATGCTTTTTGTTAAATCAGTTCTTCTGTACAATTTGAAGTTATAAAAAACAATGTAGTTAGTGTACTTCAAGATATTCAAAAACATATTTTTTAAGAAAATAAAATTTTCTTTGAAAGATTGCAGCATTAGGAAAACATAAAAGTGAAAAATATAAGGATCTAGAATGGTTATAGAAATGAAAAACTACAAAAAATAAGTTTTGAGACTGAATTTGCACAGTATATAGATCAAGTTAAAGGAAGAGGAGCTAATATTGTACACTTCAGTTCAACTAGAAAATTAAGTCACTAAAAAAATTATGAGTAGATCAAAGAATACTAATACGTACTGTACTAAAAAAAATAAAATAAAATAAAGCTAAAGAAAGTTAACCATTTCCAAATTGAAAGTTTGTAAATGTAGATAATTTCCTTTGAATGCTGTGCACACTGCAAACTATTACAGCATTCCGTGATGCAGGAAAGTACTTCACAAAGATAGGATGTATTGTAGTTTAAAGGTAAGATGAGCAGTTCTTTACTTAGGCACAGAGAAGGATTTGGAACCATGTGAGATATAAAAGGTCATGTATGAGCATTAGTGTGTTAACGAGAACTGACAGCAACAGTAAAGGAAAGATAATTGTTTACATTCAAGAAACTCTGCAGAATTATTTGGTTTAAAGTGAACTGATAAACAGATGTTAAAAAAAGTCTCTTACATTAGATTATTCGTCAAGTTGTGTACAGTTCTATGAATGGTTTAAACGTAAGTGAAAATGCAACTTTACATCTGACCAACCTGAAACTCTAAAAATACTTTATCTATATCTAGACTTTCAGAAAGATACACAGAGGGACTTGACAGAAATGAAGAGCTGATGTACAAACAAGAGTGGTAATCCGGCCAACAATCTGACATTGGACCAACCGTGGGTATGTGTGATCACAAATTACACTGATCCAACTTCAAATTGGCAGAAGAGTGGATTCTTGTTTAACTACAGTATTCCCCACGTACATGCGAGCCATGTTTGGTATAAAAACTGTATTATTATTATTAATAGTATTATCATGATTATTATAGCCTGGTGAGCAATTGTTTAAAATAATGTGATATGATTCTTGGAAGGATAGCAGGTTACAGTGTATTTCATGGAATAAATCACCCTTTTCCAACCATTTATGAATGTAGGCACAACATTCACAAAACAACTGCAACTTTATCAACCAAAATTACTACAGTAATGCCCCAACTTTGTCTCGCTAGCTTGGCAACATGATGTGAGTTGTGCAAAAATGATAGCTGTAGGAAGGACCTTCAGAGGGTTACCCAGCACAAGCAATGATGTTCTTGTTCACGTAAAAAAGTGCATAAAAAGACTGTCTGCTTTACAGTCTTTAGTTTCTCATACAATCCGAAACTTATTATCAAACCTGATCCCAAACAGTGCTCAAAATTATGTAACAAGCAATGAATCTAGTGCTGAATATTATTGTGTAGCCTAAACCATGGTACAAACATAACATAACACTGTATTATAAATAAATAAACAATCATTATTTACACACACATATTATATATATATATATATATGCAAGTAAATCACTGTAGGTGCGCGTGATCTAGGTATATGCTGATAACCACAAGGAAGAAAATTCCCAGCGCTGTAAGTGAAACAGCCTAGTCTGTACTCACCCCTGAAGATGTGAATTATGTTTAAAGCTATATATATATATATATATATATATATATATATATATATATATATATATATATATATATATATATATATATATATATATATATATATATATATATATATATATATATATATATATATATATATATATGAATTTTACTGATAAAAATCTTTAAAGAAGTTCTACCAACAAACTAACAAAGTCTTTTTTGCAATTTACAGGACAAAATTTTTTATTGTTACATACAGTATACTTAAATACTGTACAGTAATATCAATTCACGAGATTACCCTACAGAGTTATCACACAACACACATCTATGAACATTTCGTTATAAATAAGCGAGACATCCAATTACAATTAGACAAAATACTTCTCTGGACCACAGCTTTCTTAACATAAGTCAGTCTTCATAAATGAATGATATAAAATGCAACTTTTTTCATTGTTAAATGACAACTACCTGTACAGTGTATTACCCTGTCTGTGTTTCAGTTTAACAAATTAAAAGTTGCACATTATGAAAATGAACTACAGTAAAATAAACATAGGTCGCACACCCTGAAAATCACACAGTTCTATTCGCCATACAAAATCTTTTAAGAATGAGTATATACTGCATATAACCCAGGGGTTCAAGGATTAATGTTTAAAGGTGTCACTTATAATTCTGGAGCCTACACAGAATGGGGTACAGTATTAGTGCAGGTTCCACAGGTCAGGTGTGAGTGGCATCTATTTCAATTGTGTAGAATCTCCACATAGGTGAAACACACTAAGTATAAATTGGGCCCATTTAAATTTTTTAATTCCAGTGAAGGTAGATCAGAATATCTCTGAACATACCAGTACAGGTACTCCCCGACTTACGACGGGGTTAGGGACCGACATCCAGGTCCTAAGTCGAAATGGTCGTAAGTCGGAAATGCTTAAATAACGCATAGAAAATAAAAAATTTGGGTCTCTTTTTCTTCTCAGCACCACAAAACACTCACTTTTAAGCTTGCCAGCTATTTTAAAGTGAATTGCAGATGAAAATTTTGTCTGTGTACTGACTTTGGGACTCAAAAAAACATAATTTGACCACATTTTGGTACGACTGAGGCAGGACGTAAGTGAGGGTGGACGTAAGTCGAGTCGGTCGTAAGTTGGGGAGTACCTGTACTGTATATGTATTATTTTGGGTATCTTTAAATCTTGTCCTGTCTTTACTGGACTATGAATGCTGTTACATTTATTTCTTTGACATCTTAAGGCTTCATAATGGTTTAGGAGGGCCTAATTGTGGTGTCTTCAAAAAATGCTAAAATGTTTGTTTCTATTTGGTGACACAATTTCACACCTTCCAATGCCTTTCATTCATTAGTGCGACATACGGAATTATTACTGTAAATTCATCTGGAAATTTGTAAACCAATAAAGAGAAATCTTCATATTATTTTATTAATTATTTCCCTAATAACTTCCATAGAAAATAATTCATTATCACTATTTGCCTGAATGATCAATAATAAATACTAACAGCCATTCACTGACTTTCTTAAATGAGTCTGTAAACCTGACAATCTCAATAACATACTCCATGCTATTACCAATCATATCTGGGAGATCATCACACAAAAACTAATTAATCAGAAAAAACTTTGCAATAGGGACAAAGCTTGAAGGGCTTACCACAAAAAAGCAAAATCACTCAAGCTTAGAAGCTGCAGGTGTCATACTGAATTGTCACTGAATCCACAGCACATCAATCATGAAGACTCACACGCACACACACACACACATACACTAACACACACTTACCTGCTGGAGTGGATGCTGCAGGTGAATGAATTGAAGGGGCCGGAGCGGTAAAAGCAGAGTGGTGTCGTTCAACATGTCCTGGTGCAGGTACTGCCCGGGGTGAGCCCGGAGGTGGGTGAATCCCAGTGTTCACAGGTGGACTTTTCAGACTTGGAGACACATGATTTGGAGAACCTAGCTGTTTTGGTGAATTATGGGATGGATGGGTTGAGTGGGTGGGTGCTACTGCATGACTGGGAGGCAAATACCCAGGTGAGGAGTGGCTGGGATATGTAGGACCAGCCATAGGTGGTCCTGTTGAGGGGGGATTCCCTTGGGTGGGATTAACAATAGGAGATGGCGGTGTTACAGGTGGTGGATGATACCCGCAGTGATGCCCTGGTGGAGCAGTGGCGCCATGAGGGTGGCTGGTTGGTGGAGGAGGAGGAGGGTATGGTTGATGGTGTGGGTGATGGTGATGGGGCTGAGAATAGTTATGTGAGGATGGATGTGGGGGAGGATGGTGAGAGGAAGGAGGATGGTGAGAGGAGGGAGTATGGTGAGAGGAGGGAGGATGGTGATGTGGTGGTGGGTGATGGGATGGGGTGGGGGTGGATGGGGTGGTGGTGGTGGTGGGGGAGGTTGAGGTGGAGGTGGCTGATGGTGTGGTGGTGGGGGAGGCTGATGGTGTGGTGGCGGGGGAGGCTGATGGTGAGGTGGGGGATGGGGAGGATGGGGAGGATGGGGATGATGGTGATGATGGTGGTGGTGGTGGTGAGGCGTACCACCAGGACTCATGACGGGCTGCATAGTGGAGAGTGCTCCCAGAGGTGTGTAGTTGTCTGACTTTTGCGGAGGAGAGGAATAGCTGCTGGTGTGGGGCTGAGGCTGTCGGGGAAGAACAATCATTAGGAATATTAAAACAAAAAAGAGTGCTGTACTACAACCCCTCAATAAGAAATGACTTTGTGTTCAAGTGAATAGTGTCTCAGTAAACCTATGTTACTCTGGAATGAACAACAAATGAGAAAAGAGGGTTACTTTTTTGGACTTTAAAAAATACACCCTAAGTAAGAAATCAAAGAGAAATTAAGTGCTTAAAGCTTTGTTTATCACAGAACTATATAAATAAGAAAAGGACTAAATAAATCACATTTAGAACAAATGTTATGCACTGTACAGTACAATAATAATACTTGAAGTTGGGGAGTAGACCACTATCTATCTCACCATGTAAACAGTCAGCACATGGGAAGGCACCAAACACCTCCACTGTAGCCTGTAGGCCAATCAGTGATGGGGTCATCTCCCTGAGCAGCCACGCTATCTACACACCGTCATCTTGTCATAAACAGTGTCTTCTTACCCTGACATGAAACTAAAAAAGGTTCCTTATGCCTAATGGCCTGTTAAGGGCAGTGTGGATACAGCATACTGAAGACTAAGCCTTCAGTACACAAAGGGACAACATGGCCGACACTTCCACTTCCCCAACTGTACATTTAGGTACCCATTCTGCAGGTTGGTCAACTAAAATGGGAAACAGCACTGATGTGTCAAGTGCCCAAGGCCAAGGGCTAAGAACATGTCATCACCACAATACAGTGCACATGTTCTGAAACCCATGCAGAAGAGAACATGGGAAGCCACCTTATTCCCTCAGTTCTTAGCTCACTTTACTACACTAAAAGGAAGAGAAAGGATCTGAGTTTACTGATACAGTATATATATATATATATATATATATATATATATATATATATATATATATATATATATATATATATATATATATATATATATATATATATATATATATATATATATATATATATATATATATATATATATATATATATATATATATATATATATATAACAAACAGGCATCTCAAGACGAACACCCTCTCTAATCTTAAAACTTGTCTGGTGCATTGCCATCAAAGATATGCCCATAGGAAGGCCAAGGCAAACACAATCCTGTAATGTCATGCATGGACAGGATGCTACCTGGCTGAGAGTTTAATGACTTTCACCATGACAGTGGAGAAATGTCCTAAAGGCTCCATAATCAAACTAATGGTTTACAATAAAAGGCTGCCAATTAAATTAGTTTGCCTCTTGTATGTAAATTCTAATTCACTTAATTAAACTAGGGAAATGATGAGACTATCCAGATTCTGTACAAGAAAAGATCCATCTGAGATCCATTACAAGGAATCTTGCAAATGACCAAAGATCTTGATCAGAGATTAACAGTGGAGAAATAAGAGAAAACTCATTGAATCTCTTCACAGTATAGAGCTCTAACACTCCTATGTTCCTGTGCTGTCTGTAAAGGATAACCAGCTTAAAGGACTAAAGTACTTCCCCCAAACAAAAGGGACATTAAGAAAAGAGTACACAGAAAAACTAACCAAGTCCATCTATTCCTCTATAACAGGTCCACTACAAAGGTCTCTCTTAAATGAAAAGGCCGATGCATCTTTACAAAATGCTTAAGCAAGACCCTGTGTTGGAAAATTTCCATATCAATTATTTTTCTACCAACAATTACAGTACAAAATGGTTTCATATTACCCATCATCATTTTGTAGCCATTTTCCATGTTTGTGTGGGTTAGGTGATAACCTGATGGTATGGTGTCCTGCTGGCCATCAGGTAAATTACTGTATAAGTAAATTTTATAGCTGCATGGCCCTATTATTGGTAACACATGTTTATAGAGTGGGAACTAGGTATTTAATGTACGATTTCCAAGTGACCTTTTAACTTGCAAGGCAGGGTGAAAACTGCCTGAAGTAATCAAAGATTATCCTTCCAGAATGTAGAGGCATTAAATTTGTCAGTGTTTATATTTCAAACCTTTAGCTCTGATACTCTGCAGAACTTGCCAGGAGACTATCCCCTAAATTCTGAGATTAAGTTGGAAATGAACAAGCCCCTACATAACATGTTCCATGAAGAGGAAGGAGACCTCTGCTTCCAACCTAACTGAGAACTAGTCGCACCTCTAACAGTTCATAAAAGTGGGTTCCACAGACCTCATGGCCCGACTGTGAAAATACACTGTGAAATAAATCTTTGGTATCCAAGAAGGCAATGAAGATGAGACCTTTCTGTCATCTTTCACTTTCCACCTGTAGAATAAAAACACTACACTGCAAAAGCGAAAATGAAAAGAGATCACTCTTTGGCAACAGTGCAAGAGTTTGATTAACAATCTTGTCTCCTGTTGTTTAAATTAAGCTACCCCAGATGATAAAAGCTTCAGTTTGGAATTGGATACACTGAGGAATGTTTATGTAAGTACAATATTTTTTTCCCCAATGAGTACATGCCTATAGTATATACAACATACACAAACACACACACACACACACAGATAAAACCCTTACATATATAATAAATGTTTATTAACCATCCCTAAAACTGGATAAAAAGAGGTCCACATATACTTAGAGAACCTTACCCTTTCTGTGCCCTTCCTGAAGTGACTTAAAGCCAATAAAAGGAAGGGACTAAGAATTGGAAAACTGAGCTGGCTTCCCATTTTCTGACCTGTTTAAATCTAAGTATGCATGGGTTGTGGGCAGCAGTGACAGATTATTAGCTCTTGACCTCTGACTACCTGCTTTATAGTAACACAAATGGAGGGTTCTAGGGAACTCTAAGATTCAACCTGTAAGACTGTTGATGCAGTATACTTGAGTTGCCTCATCGACTGCATCAGTTATAAAATGTACATTAATAATACACTGTATGAAGTTTTCCTTTGGATTCTATGCATAAATCTTACTTGTACATGATGAGTGGGAGGAATGTAGGCAGTAGGAGGAGCTGATGTAGTTGAACATCCAGTGGTAGTTGTCTTTCGTTGTACCTGCTTCACCATTGTTGTGGTTTTGCCATCGCTTGAGGTGATACAGTACGTACTTTCTCCTGAGATGGTGACTGTCTGAGGTGCAGCTGGTGTTTGGGAGGTAATATATGTGCGTGTAGATTCTTCAACAACACTTTTGGGCTCCTCTTCACCCCGAACAAGAATATCAGTTGTCAATTCAGAATTGTCCGTTCCATTGCCATCTTCTCTATCAGTGTCGGCAGCACCTTGACGCTTCACTTTCTTTTTAACTATAATGTGTTCCTCCACTTCTGTTTCACGACTTCCTTGAGCCTTTTTGACCTTCTTGGTAGTTTCCTCAACAGTTATCACACTGCTAGTTGTTGTGTTTCGAGCCTTGGTGGACTTGACCGATATTTTTCTTTTAATGTCAACATTTGTTATTTCACTTTCTGCTGAGGAACTAGTAGCTGCTGCCGTTGGAGTTCTTTTACGAGATTCACTGGAGTAACTTGCAGCCATTATTGCTGAAGCATTCAGACTGGCCATACGTTTTGTGACAACCATATCACGCATGTCCATGTGCACGTCTAACTCTCCTCTTCGTCTTTTACGTTTCTTTTTCACTTTCTTTTCTGTTTCCTCCTCATTTTTCCTTTTCACATTCTTGCGCCGTTTCCCGTGTTTTTCATCATCAGTGTCATAGTCCCTGTCCTCTTCGTCAGACTCTTCCTCTGAATTACTGTCAGGAATTACTTGGTCTCTTAGTACAAGTGCCATGTCATTCTTAGGAGTAGATGCTGGGAGAACAGGTAAGGGAGTTCTGGCGTCTTCATTTATACAATGCATCATAGCTCGAGCATTGAGACTTGCCATGCGAGCTGCCCGCCGGGGAGGAGCTATACTCTCTTCTCTCTTCTTACTTTTTAACAAATGCTTTTTAGTTTTCAAAATGCTTTTTCCTGATTTCTTTTTTCGTGTATTCGCTTCATATTCACTGTCACTTTCTTTGTCACTTTCATCAACTTCAGATGTGTCATCTTTCCCCCTTGTACCTTTCTTAACAAAAGTAACTTTTTTGGTTTTCTTGATGGCCACTTTGGAATCCCCTTTGGATGACTTCTTTAAAACTCGTCCAGATGAGTTTTTATATGACACTTTCTTCCTTGATTTTTTAAGCGTGTCTTGATCGTCTTCATCATTTTCTTCCGATGATGACTCTGATTTAAGACTGCTTTTTGGGGATGGTTTTTCTTTCATCTGTTTCTGGTTGGTGCTACGCTTCTTTTCTTTAGAGATTCCTTTTTTATTACCTCTGTTTACTAATCCATTTTGCTTAGTATTCTCTTCATATTCTCCATCATCTTCTTCCTCCTCCTCTTCAGATTCATCATCCTTTTCTTCATCACTTTTCTCAATCAATTTATCTTTCATTGTTTTCTTCTTCTTCCTATTGTTTGCAAGTCCTTTTCTTGCTTTGAGATTCTTTGTATGTCTTCCACGTTCTTTTGATGCTGCCCAGTCTTCATCATCATCACTGACCTCTTCATCACTCGTCTCCTCATTCATACACACAATTCTCTTTGGTGAAGCCTTGATCTTCTTTGCTTCCTCAGTATCACTACTTTCACTGTCATCAGATCTTACTTTGGCAATCTTGCTCACTTTCATCTTTGATGACCTCTTGTCATCACTGTCTTCTGCAGAGTCTGATGCTTCTGATGTCTGCTTCTTAATTTTCTTGTTGGAAAAAATTTTTTGTGGTTTTTTATTGTTAATGCGAGATTTTGAAGATTCTTTCTTCAGCTTGTATATTTTACCCCCAATTACAACTTTTTTTGGACACTCTGATCTATTTCCACACAGTTTACCTTTACGAATGCCATGGAGTGATTCCCTGGAGTCTTCATCTGATGATACTGAGTCAGTGCTCGAGTTGTCCTCATCATCATCGCCATCGTCATCATCATCCCTAAACTCCTTTTCCCTCTTAACTTTATTGTTAGGTTTGGTCGTTTTCTTTTTTCTCTTAGATGGTTTTTCATCCTTCTCCCCCTCACTCTCTGAAAAAGAAAACACACTTCTTTCTCTCTTACTTTTGGTGTTTGGTTTTGCTGAATTCTGTTTTTTATCAACTTTGTTTTTATCTTTCTTGGGTCTGGCAGGGGGTAAGCCATCATTTTTTCTCTTATTTTTACTTCCTTTTGGTCTTCCTCTTTTCTTAGGCACTGGTGCGTCTTGAGACACTGGATACGAAGACTTACTTTTACTGTCTTTGAAGTCACCGCTCAATGTTCCATTTTCCTTTTTGAACGAGGAGGAAGTTTTCTTTTCTCTGTCGTCTTTACCATAAACTGAGCTATTTTCCCCTTCACTATCTACTAAAAGTTTCTTCGCCGCGCCCTTTTTCTTTGGTTTACTCGTGGAAGAACTACCATCCTCACTAGGTTCTTTGGTATCATTCTTGAGCATTGTCCGGTCAAGTTTTTCCTTACCCGATGGCGATTTGTTAAGATAGCTGCAGTCTTTTGTGCTGGGAGAGGTCGCCTCTTTCTCTGCTACTCTTGAAACTGTGTCACCACTTTTAGCGTCCACTAATTTCTTGGTCTCTTTACTATCCCTATCATTATCTAGTTTCTCATCCCCTGTCCTCTTTCCTTTTTTCCCTTCTTTGTCACTTTCCCCATTCTCATCACCTATCTTTTTTCCTTTCTTTTTACAATCTTTATCACATTCTTCTTTTTTTCCTTCTTCCTCAAATTCTTCCTTCCTATTATTTTCTTTATCACACTGTTCTTTATTTGTTCCATCTTTCTCATCATCTATTATTTTCTTTTTTATATCTTTATCACTTTCTTCTTTCTTTTTTCCATCCTTATCACTTTCCTCAAGTTTCTTTCCATTGTTTTCACTCCTATCTTTTTCTTCCACAGTTTTCTTACCCTTCTTTTTCAATTCTCTTTCACTTTCATCTTTCTCATCATTTTTCTTTGACTTATTTCTTGCCACTTTTTCATCTTTCTTCTCATCAACTTTCTTCCCAGCCTTCTTTTTCACTTCTTTGTCATTTTCTTGTTTCTCAGCACAAGGTTCTTTCACTTTCTTTCCCTTTTTCTTTCCATCTTTATCATTTTCCTCCTTTTCATCACCAGACTTCACAATGTCATTTCTGGATTCCGAATTTCGTCTGGACTTTCCACTTACCACGGATTTCTTCCCTTTGTCTAATGAAGGTGATTTGGCACTCTGTGAGGCTGACTTGTTTCCTTCAGAGGGGATGTCTCGCCCTGCTTTGGGCATTTCCTGTTTATCTGACACCAATTTGGCTTTCTGGTTACTTAAGCTTTCGACAGTTTTCAATGGTTTTGGATTTTCGGTCTCTGACTTTGTAGAAGCCTTAGCCCCTTTTCCTGTTACTTTAGCACCATCAAAGAGGCCTCGTGATGGGGATCTGCATGGAGATCTCCGAGCAGGAGACTTCCCAGAGGCCTTGCAACTTGGAGAGGTGTGGGTGGAGGCCCGACCTGGAGACTGACTGCTGGATTTTGCAGAACGACTTCGAAAGGTAACTCCTCCAGAGGTGACCTTTGGAGGGGACTCACTGCATGAAGTGGAAGAAGAACGTTTTGTTTGTGTTCTCCCACTTCTGCTCCTTCGAGAAGAACTGGCAATTCCTACACTCTCCTTTTTGGTTACCTGTAAAAAAAATAAGAAAATCAATACCCTGACAATGATAAATCAAATGTGCAGTGACTGCAGATTATCACATACAGTATATCTCTCACTTACCCCCAGGTCATGGTAATTTTGAAATAACCCTGAAAGTCAATAAGCTTCGACTCCCTTGCTGGTAAGTACATTATACTGTATATCCAGAAAGTTTAAATTCATATGTCCTTTACAATCACACTTTAATGACATTCAAATCTTTCTCTAAGGTCATAAAAGTAGGTCATGGTGCCCTAAAATAATTTTCCTCTGCAATAAATAACATCTAACTCTCTAAATCCCATAATTTGAAATTTTTTTAACTTGATCATTCTCAAGATATTCATTAGACAAACTGTGCAAGAAAAACGAAGAAATACAAACAATAAGTTCCTGGGAAATATCTATCAATGTACCAGCTTACAGACACAAGCAGAATCTTATTGCAGAATACAACAAGTGATCCTGAATTTTGTCATACACAGGCTGTATTTTAAACTTTTGTAGTGCAGCATCCCAAAGTTATGATAGTTTTCTTGTCGTGAGTCTTAATATGACCAAAAGATAGGCACTACATACTGTACACCATACAAAACAGTTGGTGAGTGTGACTATGTTACTCCCTACACCCTGTCAAGGTTATGTTCACACAACCTTGGCAGCTGACTCTGGCCATTGCTCATATAAGCTAAAAAAAAATAATATAAAACTGATTCTAAAACTCCATCTTATGACCAAGCCTGGACCTGATGATGCATGTAATACTCATAACTATTAAACAATGGTACTAATTCAATAATAAATAATGCAGTACTGAACTGTATCTGTAAGTTGCAACAATATCCCTCAACAAGGCAATCAGAGATAGCATGCCTCGCCCTAGCTGTACTATTGCCACTGGAATGGGACACCTCACACTTGTGACATCATTTCCCTGTTCATTTACGTTTTTACTGTACAGTATTTTATGAACCGATGAAGGGTCCTATAAAGTCTTCATACAAAACCTGAAGTTTTCATTCAGCAGTTTCTGAGACAAATTTTTGTCATTATGACCTTGATCTTTTATTTTATTTTTAATTTTTCCTTTTTTTTTATGGGGATTAGCCCACCCGGGCACAGGTCACTGACCAACATCGTGGCCTGGGGACGAAAATGAAATAATAATAATACATAGTAAATAAAATCTATAATACACAATATAAATTTGAAAATAAAATAACAAAATAATAATAATAATAATAATAATAATAATAATAATAATAATAATAATAATAATAATAATAATAATAATAATATAATAAAGAACCATAAAGAAATAATTTTTTTTTAAAAAAGATCAAAACTGAGAAACAATACAGTATATGTATGCTGTGTTGTCAAAGTAAGAAAAACAATTGAGACCCTGCAATTGTGTGTAAATGATGCAGAAAGTCAGATCAGCAACCTGGAACTTGGTCACAACTTTCGTGATGCCATATGGCAGCCGGGTCTACATGCGACACCCCAAGGGGTCTCCACTTTTAATTCCTAAAATAGATTTGACTTGAAGAAGGATGATGTCACAGAGAAAACATAAATGACACTTTTGATGAGCCTCTTGTTAAGAAATCAGATGCAACAAGCCTCATCCTTCTATAATGTTTAATTCCAGAGCTATCATGAAAAATGTGACTTTTGAATTTTAACAACCATGACCTTGTCTTCCCCCAAAAAGTTCATTGATAACTGTACTGTATATCCAATATAGTTCATCCAACATGTTTGGTCACATTCAGTGCAGACACGGATAAGATATGCTTCATTACAATATGGGCCAAGGTGCAGTAATACAGACACACAGACAGAGTCATTCTAATACCTCATAAACCCCTTTGGAGGCAAGGTAAAAAGGGATAACTGGATGCAAAGCAAAAGTTACCACAGAAGGCTTGAGGATAATGAGTCAGGTGCCACATAAGCAAAGAGTATTCCGTCCATCACTTGAAGGCTTGGCTATGAACAGGTAATACTGGATCAACCATCCAGCTTCACAGTGACCTCAAGGAAGTTGTCTGGTTTAGGCTTAGTCATAAAACGAGATTTCAGGAACAATCCTTCATCTTTGACCTTATGCCAGGAGCAGATGACTCATATAACTGAAGCCAGCTAGAAAAAAGGAAGGCAGTGGATAGGCACTTCAAGTGTTAATGAGGGAAAGGGCGGCTACATCAAATTCTCTATGATATACCCTAATTGCAAGCAAAAACTATTATTTATATATATATATATATATATATATATATATATATATATATATATATATATATATATATATATATATATATATATATATATATATATATATATATATATATATATATATATATATATATAACCAGACGGACATCATACAAAGCATTTAGATGGATAGATGGATGAACAGTATGAGTGATGACACTACCTCTCAGTTCAAGTCTAGGTTGAGAAGTAGATACAGATATAGTACTGTCTGGATTTATAATTTGTATGTGTTGGGGCAATAAGCAAAATGGACTAGCAAAATAGTAGTTGTAGCTATATCACAGATCTCCTGCTAGTCATAAAAATGTTGAAGTTTAAATGCAAGGGAAAACTTGAAAATCTCAATAGATCATCTATGAATTCATATATATATAATTTACCGTATTGCACAGTACTGTATAAGAAGCAATTAGTAATGTTTTAATATACTTGTATAAAACCTTGTTGACCTTGATCTTTGGCTCCTGACTGTGTATGCAAAAACTGTTTTACATGTGTGTGGTAAATCTCAGTCACCCAGTCATAAATAATACTGTACAGTATATAAAAGATATGAGAGGACAGACAGACACATGGACAGGGCACTCCAATATGCCCCATTTGTTTCACACAATGATTATAATGTCATATTCATTCATCCAGTCTACAGATACAGTATTGTGTACACAAGCATCGAGTAAAATCTAGTTCCTTTAACACTGTGGGATTTGACATTTGACTGCTGCCTCCCAAAACTGTATACAGTATACTGTAGCAATATGTTGTAATATTTGTTATGTAAGTTTGGTTAATATTCATTCACAAAGCCTCCAGACTATAGTAGTACAGTACAAGTTTGGTCAGCATTCACTTTCCCAGTCTTAAAATATTGTGTACACAAGTACAGTACAGTACTTAGTTGCAATTTAGTACATATGTCCTTTAATCCCTGAATTTTACATATTAATCAGATGTAGAATATTATAAGCAATATTTGCTGAAAAACTTTAGTTAATATCCAATCAAGATACAAGATATTATTTACACAAAATCAGAATTTGAGAGACCGGCACATGGATGGATGGACAGTAGCAAAATAGTACAGTATAGCACTCCACCACCACTATGGCAGGACACATTGTTCTGTATTCAGTGCTGTATAACATAATATTGTATAAATATTCAATATCAATATTGAGCTTGGTCGCACATATCCTGAGTACATCAGGTATGTGAGCAATGTGCTTTATTCACTGATCCATGAGGTTTCCAGGTGAAGTGGGATACAGGACTTCTAAATATGGCTCAATATCGAGAAATGGTGAAATAACAGGAGATTTGAGACAAACTATGAGTTTTGGTAAAATAATAGCTGCAGTTGGAGTTGGGGAACCCAAAGATATTTTCTTGCAAGTTATCAGGATCAATATTGGAGAACTATGTGTCATCAACACAGATAAAGAGTGGAGCACATATGGTCCAGAACAATGAGGAACAATGACAATGTCATCAGTCTGGGAGAATTGATACTGATGAAGAAACAGCAATAACTCATGGTCACCTAAGTGAGAAAAACGAAAGTCCCATTAACTCACAAAAAAGGAGAGGGGTGATTCACTAATGCCACCTGTACTGAAACAACGAGCACGTTTCGAGTGACTGGAATGGCCAGGAAATACTCACAACTTTATAAATGTATTTAGGCCCATGAAAGTTTATCGTACCCATGTGTGCAGTCACACAGAGATTGATTGATTGGTTGATTGGGTAAAATATCTGGCATTGCAAAATGTGTCACACAGAGAATTCAAATACAGGTACAGTAGTTTGATAATACGTTACTGGTACTGTATAGGCAAAAGATATCCATGTGGTCAGTTACTCAGGACTCCTTGATGAGGAAGCTGTCACGTGATTTCTGTACAGTTTAGTACAGTCCTTCTGGTACTAGTGGTTTTCACTTCCAGTGCAAGTGAGTCAGTAGGTGACAATGAGTACCTTTCTAGTGCTAGGGGGGAATGACTAGCTTTCTTGTGGTAGTGGGGATGACTGACTGACTAGCCCTCTAGTGCTAGTGGCAGTGATCAGCCTTCTGCTCCTAGTGACAATGAATAATATCCAGTACTTGCAATAAAAACACAATGGTTGGAAGTACCCGGTAGTAGCAAAGAAACAATAAACTTGTTACAGTACTGTACTAGGAAGGCATAAAACTTCCCACTATTTATACTGTACTACAGTTGACAGCAGTTACTAATCTGTTGTAAAAGGACAAGCCACTCAATTAGCTGTACAGTAATTGGATACTGTTGATACTGTACACACTAAAGAAAATCTACTCACTTTATCATTAATATACTCTAGAATGATGATGAGCCTTAAATATATTCTTGTTTAAAAATAGTCCACCCACCTTAGCTTTAAACTTTAGTGTGGAAGTCTTCTTGAGCGGGGGAGTGCTAAGTCTTCTAAGGCTGCTCCCTTGTTGCTGCCCCCGCCCCTTGCTGTGAGTCCTGCTGCCCGTTCTCATCCCTTCACCACCCCATACTGTATCTGAAAAGGTAAAATCAAGTAAGTTTACTTCACTGGATGCATCACCTAACTGTGTGGAAATTTATACAGGCACCAACTTACTAAATGACTGAGTGAACCTTTTATGAGGCTACAGTGATCAGTCTCATGTGACAGTTTCTCACCCTTGCTTTTATTTATTTTTCTACATGGCTTGAATTATTTTACAGATCATTACAGTACTAAATCAATGTACTGTATCCAGTATATATAAAATATCACATATTATAAAATGAATATTAATAAAATAATAACACATAATATATATAATACAGTATACTAACATTTAACTTACGAATGCCTGCCGATACAAACGAGGTTAAACTTTAAATTTACATTATTTTAATTACCTGGTGACTTATTTTTTACTTTCACTTACTGTATTTTGTCATTATATTTCTTCTTTTTTCTTAAATTAAGTGATTTTAGATGAACACAGTATATAAGGATTTAGGCTATGATATACGTAGTGGGATTTTAAACACTGTTCTGTAAGTACAGTATGGACATGGCATATGTTCAGACTTAAGTACATTTCCAACTTAAGAACGTCCTCAGGAACGGAACCCAATCGTAACCCGGGGACCCCCTGTATACAGTCCTGGTCAAAAGTAATCATCCACCCCTTCTACTACCACACCTGCAAGCTCAAGGCCTTTCTACACGACAGGTCACAATAGGGTGGGGGAGGTATTGATGGGGGGAATGCTAAGGGTAGTGAACCTGAGTAGGGTAGGAGGGTGCAAGTCAAGGGCCACATATGTAGTGAGTGTATGTGGTCTTATCATTATCTTTAACACCTGAAGGTGTTATGGTTGGTGGATGTAGCTTGACACTGACAGCCTTAATGACCCTGGCAGTTGATTGGCCTAAAGCCCAAACAACCAGCAGTGTGGGTGTCCAAGGGAGGTGTCATATGGACTTAACTTTTCCTTAGTTATCTATGCCTTTACTTGAGATTCTGGGGAGGAATGCAAGTGAACTTTTAGCAGGTAATGTGTCATTAGGGTTAATAAGGTGTCTGGCTTCTGTGAGGCAAAGTTCCTGATATGACAACATAAGAGAATAGGGGGCATGACTTGCTCACCTCTAGTAACAATAAACTAGGCTGTTACTTGATCAGTCACGGGCAAATTCTCGGTTTGCACGTGGCTGGCTACAACATGTTAGAAATTGCAAGAGAGGATGGGGTCACTGTGAGACGTTGGTTAACCTGCTTGGAAGAGTCTGGGCACTTGGAAAACCTGTCACATTGTTGGTTTGCTGACATTTGACACATTAAAATGACTAATTCTGGATGTGTAATGTAAACAAAACAGGGGTTAGGTGGTGGAGTGGATGATTACAAGTGCTTTCCACAGTGACTGTACATTAACTACAGAGAACATACAGTATAATATAACAGATTTAATTTTCAGGATACATTTGTGGACACGCTGTACCCCCCATGCTGTTATATACTGTAAATCTTTATGAGTTTACCTCAGTTCTTACGTGTTGTTTAAAGCAAAGGTCATGCTTACATAAACTGTTACTTATTGTTCACATCAGTTCATGTTTACATAAATGGTGTCCTCGTGTATTCAAAACATTCACAGGCTCATATGATAATTTCTCCTTCTAACTGATGCCGTGGCAACATATTTAAAGTGACTTACTTAAATTGCAGCAAAGTGGACTAAGAATTGCTATGATAATCTATCCTAGCATGGCCCATTCTCTTTTCACTTCCCAGTTAACCCCTTCTTATCTGGTTAATGCCAAACAATTTTATTCAGCACACAGAGGATCCTGTACACAAGTGGTTAACAGGACAAAATAAGTACTGTATGGTGTAGATGGGAATACGAATCCTTTGATGCACTCAGCTTGAGAAGATATTTGGCAGGTATGTGGTAGTATTTGGTAAGTATGTGGTAGTACCTGGCAGGTATATGGTAGTACTGTACACTATTTAGCAGGTTTATGGTGGTATTTGGCAGGTATATGGTAGTAAACTATTTAGCAGGTTTATGGTGGTATTTGGCAGGTTTATGGTAGTATTTGGCAGGTATATGGTAGTACATGGCAGGTATGTGGAAGTATTTGTCAGATGTGGTAGTATTTGTCATATATGTGCTAGCATTTGACATGTATGTGGTTTTATTTGAGTTTTTTTTTTTTGCAGGATTAGCCCACCAGGGCACAGGTCAATGACCAACATCAGGGCCTGGGGGCGAAAATATTATTATTATTATTATTATTATTATTATTATTATTATTATTATAATAAAAATAAAAAAAATAATAATAATAATAATAATAATAATAATAATAATAATAATAATAATAATAATAATAAAAATAAAAATAATAATAATAATAATAATAATAATAATAATAATAATAAAAGCCCATAAATAAAAAAATAAAAAAAAAGAGATCAACAGTGAGAAACGATATACTGCAATGTATATATTGTGTGTTGTCAAAGTAAGAGAAACAATTGAAACCCTACAATTGTGTGCAAATGAGGCAGAAAGTCATCAGATCAGCAACCTGGGACTTGGTCACAATTTTTGTGATGCCATATGGCAGCCGGGTCTATCATTAGACAATACATTATTGTATGCTTCCAACATCTTCCCAGATATGATGTACAGGAATTAATACTGAAAATGTAATATTGTACAGGTCCTTATCCTCAAACATGTACACACAGAAACAATGCTAATATTCCCTACCATCGCACAGTCAGCGAAACCGGACTCGGACTCGCACACATCCACACTGACCACAAAACAAGTACGGTATACAGTAAATAAGACCAGAGACCCTCTACCCATACACTGACACACGGTGGGAAGAGATAAAATAGATCCTCGTCACCAGGAAGGGCTGTGGGTGCTCTAGTTAGTGGTGGGGGTGTCGAGTCGCGCACATGGCTGCCTACACACAGATAACGAGGTTGTGGACGAACCACAAGGATATTGCCACTGTGAAGATACTCCCTTTCCCTTACGTGACGGACACGGGGAATAGGGGTCCTGTTCTCCAAAGATTCCTATGGTGAATAATCGTCTTAACTGATAACATGAGAAAGCATAAAACTGATAAGCACGAGGCTTACAGCATATCCCCACCCCCCTCCAAAAAAAGTACAATCTACCGTTTTACTGTCAGTTGTAGAGCCGTCACTCGGAACAAAACAATAACAAAGATGTGGGTCGTTGTCGTTTTTAAAGCTTTTCTTGACACTACAATAGATGTCTAAAATCCCTCACTTTATCAAGAAGAAAGTTTCATGTCCCTGGTCCAAATAATTGGGGAGGCTTGAGACTCCATGCTGGCCGCTAGTAGTTTACTGATCTTGTACTATACTGAACTAGTTGTTTACAGAGCTTGTTGTTAACTGAGCTTGTAGTTTACAAAGCGTGTAGTTTACAAAGCGTGTAGTTTGCTGAGCTTGTAGTTTACTGAGCATTATAATTTACTGAGATTCGTGGTACAGTGGGGTATGCTGTAACGAACGTAATTGGTTCCAGAACCTCGTTCGTTATAGCATTCGTTCGTTATAGGATTAATCCGTTTCAGGCCCCCAAATACAACCACTTAACACTGAAAAAATTCTGTGGAAAATGTAAAAAATACGGTACTTTATCTTACCTTAGTGTTGTTCAGCATGCAGGACAGGAGGCAGAGGGGGAGGGGGGAGGAGAGAATTATGGAGAAGAGGTGGAAAGAGAAGAGTCATCCTTCCTAGCCCTCTTTGGTGACTGTCTCACAGGCACTTTGTCTGTAGGTTCTTTTGTTACCTTTGTAAAGAAGGAATCCAGGGTTGGCTGCTTCAACCTTGATTTCTGGACCTTCCAAAAGTAGTTCATAACATTGTCATTAAACACACTGATGGCCTTTTGCACAGAACCAACATCAGGATGATAATCCTCAGCAAGCTTGGACAGTTTGCTCCAACAAAAGAATGCATCCTTGAGATCTTTGGCTGGAATGATGCGGCTTTCCTCCTTGTCCTCCTCCTCCCCTGACTCCTCAGAAGTTAAGCTCTGCTTCAGTGTCTCGTTTTCCTCTTTGTGAAGCTCAAGCAAGCTCCTCAGTGGACAGTTCCTTACTGTGCTCTTCCACCACCTCCTCAACATCATCATCATCCACTTCCAGGCCCATGGAATTGCCCAGAGACACAATTTCATGAACAACAGCCTCTTCTTCTAACTCTTCTAAGTCTTCAAAGTCTCTTTGAAGGACACATTCAGGCCACAATGGCCTCCAAGCAGCACAAAGACACCTCACAGTAACCTCTTTCCAGGCTGAGGTAATTAAAAATACAGCATCTGCTATATTGAAGTGACTCTTCCAAAATTCCTTCAAGCTAACATCACTGGAAGAAGTGGAGACAAAACATTTTCTAAACAGTGCCTTTGTGTACAGCTTCTTAAAGTTAGAAATTACCTGTTGATCCATGGGCTGGATGAGAGGTGTTGTGTTGGGTGGCAAGAAGTGCACAGTGATGAAGTTGAACTCCTCTGGCAATTCAACCATCAAATTAGGAGGGTGGGCTGGTGCATTGTCCATCACCAACAAAGCTTTCAGTGGAAGATTATTCTCCCTGAGGTATTCCCGAACACTGGGTCCAAACACCTCAATCACCCACTCGGAGAATAAATTCCTAATCACCCAAGCCTTTGGGTTTGACCGCCACATAACACCAAGGTGGGTCTTCCTAATTTTTCTGAAAGCTCTGGGGTTTTCTGCGTAGTACACAAGGAGTGGCTTTATTTTGCAGTCACCAGAAGCATTAGCACAAAGAAGGAGGGTAAGCCTGTCTTTCATTGACTTATGGCCAGAGACAGAAGTTTCCTCCTTGGTAATGTATGTACGGCGAGGCATTTTTTTTCCAAAAAAGTCCAGTTTCATCACAGTTGAATACCTGCTGAGAAACAAAGCCCCCCTCTTTAATAATATTAAAAAAAATGTCATGGTGTTCCTTAGCTGCACTAACAGCATCACC